ATTCGCCATTCAAATGCTTGAAAGTTCTATCTAACCAATTTAACGGAATTTGACCACTGTGAAATTAGGCGGGACACCTTCAAGATACTCTCGCACAAGAAATGCCAGTCACCATGCGCCACCCAGAAATTACATCCCATACACCGGAAGCCCCAAATGCATGGAAATATCCTCCAGCGTAATTGTGCACTCTCCACATGAAAGATGGAATGTGTGTGTCTTTGGTCTCCACTGCTAAACCAATACAGAAATAAGGTTGGATTCAAGGTTACGGTGCCCTTCATATTTTTCTACGTAACTGAATCCAACCTTGACTAAATACGGCCACACACATGTAGATATCTCTAACTTAAGATTACGAATGAAGGATATAATATGCGGTCTCTCTCCTAATTTAATAAATATTATAGAAAATAAAATATAAACTAATACTAAATAAATTAAATAAATAAAATATTAACAATAATTAAAATTAAAATAGAATTTAAAATTGTTACCGTATCATCAAAATGCCTCGAGATATGATGTTTATCTAAACATAGCACACCACATTCCATTTATAACTGTAAAAATTAATAAAAAGTTAATATAATAAAATTTAATAAAATAATAAATTATTGATTTATTGTAATACAATAAAAATATTTTACCTTCTTAATAGAAAAAATGATACTCGAAATAATGAGAGAATTTGGGTTTTGAGAGTGGTTTGGATGTTGTTTTTAAAGGAAGAGGGGGGGTTAGCCATATTTCCCATAAATGTGGTAGGCGTTAACGGTTAGGGTACTAAAGGAAAGGCGCGGATGGTGATTCGCACCTTACTGACGCGTGTCAAAAATCCTAGAAAGGGATGGGTCACCATCTGCGCATGTCTTGACGTGACGTCAGTTCGGATAAAACCCCGCAAAGACGCGAATGACGCTTGTCAAAAAAAATTGCTGGATTGTTAAAATTATGAGAAATAATGTCTAACAGGTAATTATTACCTATTAGGATGATATTTCGATAAAATCTCATGTATGAGATAAGCTATGTAAAACATTAAAAAGGGTCAAAAAGTTTATATAATTCTATAAATAAATCAAAAGATTAACAAAAGGAGGGGAGGAAAGGATCTTAGGTTATGTAATAATTTAGGAACAAAGAGCAGTTGGACAATATTAGTTAGGGGTGTGCAAAATTACCTGATCCGGTTGACCCGACCCGTCGACCCGGATAAAAAAAATAGGGTAATTTTATAAAAAAAATACCCGGCCGGGTCGGGTACCCGGCCCGACATTTTCGGGTCGGGTCCGGGTCACAAAAATTGATTTTTCCGGGTACCCGGTTAAGTATTTTTAATATATTAACTAAATGATTTAGTTGGTTGCACACGCTCCAAACCTTCGCTCAAACCATCTAAATCCCTAACAGGCAGCCACGCTCCAGACTCAAAACAGCCACGCTGCAGGTTAATCGCCAAGCTCCAACCTCAACCTCCGTGGAAGCCTTCCACGCTCCGGCCAGATCCAGCCACTCAGCCAGGTAACAATTCACTCAACAGTGTTATTAGTTTATTACAGCAATTCGAAGTTTTTTGTTAGAGAAATACATTTACGCCTTCTTCCTCAAAGTCTCCTTTGGCCGGCTGCATTTCCTTTTGTTATCCAATTTTAGTTATACCCTTTAAGTGGGTTAATCATTAAAGCAAATGGGGTTTCAATAATTGATTTGTTATAATCTAATCAATGCTTGGCATGTGAAGTTGAACTGAATTCCCATAATCTGTTGGGTAAATACAGTAAAATAAAATTAAAAATGTATATCTTTCCATCTTTTTCATAGATTTTCTTTTCAATCTACCAAAAACAACAATCCATCATATTAATTATTCAGTTTTTGTGTAGTTTGTCAGAATTTGGATTAAAATAAACCAACAATAATAATTAAAAGTAGAAAGAGATTTGGGTTACCGTACATAGAAGCAAACTGAGAAATCTGAGGATCAGCGGTAACCGGTTGGATTGCGTTCTTGAGTCTGGGTGAGGAGCTCGACGTTAGAATTAAAGCAACCTCTGCACTGACCCAACATAAAAGCAACTTATAAACAACAATAAAAGAAATTAAAATTTAAAAGTAATTAAATACTCAAAAATTCGAACAGACTCTTGCAAAATAAGGGTTTTGGGTTATTACACTTTGATACAACTTTGATAAATTGCAAATAATTTATACCCAGTGGGCACTTCTAAGCTTTTAATGATCATGAATATTATATTGAGATTTTTATATAAGTGAGTTACGAATTTATAGTAATTATTTGCAATTTTTCAAAGTCTTATAGACCCAAACTGGAGTGAGTAAATTGTGAGTCCATCAAATAATTTATGCCCAGTGGGTAGTGGGCAGTGTATGTGTTTAGGTTAAATGTTAGTAATTGATTTACTAAAGGACTTTAGTTTACTAAGATAAACATGTGCTTAATTTCATAGCCAATCAATATATCTAAATGCGCTTACATGTTTTCTTTGACTTTTAGTTTGTTGACAAATGCCCGACTTTTTTTCTTCAGATAATGTCGATGACAGGAGAAAATATTGATGATATAGAGATGTTATCTTCATCAATTAAGTCGTCTAAGGAATCCGAAAAGATTAATGTGGTTGAGACTCCAGTTAATACTTTGGAGCAACCAACAATTATCATTGATGAAACAAGTGAAGTTCTGGATGTCACGTATGAAGAACAATTCCCATAGGCCATAAGTCCCAAACTTTGTAAGCTATTAAATTTTAGTTATATTTTCATTGATTAAAGTTTTAAACTTATGGTTTATTTATATCTAATGAAAGAATTGATTGTAGGAAAGGAGAATGACAAATGAAGAAGTGTATTAATGATCATGAATTCAATTCATGATTCAAGTATCAAGTATCAAGTTGATTGGATCTAGCATCTACTCATCTAGTTAGCTATGAACTTTTATGTTTTATTTATATTATGGATTATTAGATTTTGTATTTTGAACTATTAAATTTTATGTTTCGATGTTGGACTTCAGGTGTTACAACAAGATGCTTCTCCATAGTTATCAATGTTTAAGGCATTTGATTATGTTATCCTTCAGTTTATGTACATTGCTTTTCTGTTACACTGGTTTATTCTGGTACACTGGTTCTCTTTTTGGGTACATGTAAGGTACATGATATTAACTTGTGGCATTCCTTTTGTTGTTTATTAGTAAAGAGTTGAAGTTAAATAGTGAGCATTGTTTTAGGGGATGTTAAAATAGCCATCTAATGGAGTTTTCACATACTTTGGCATTGTTCATTATCCATTGCTATTGATACTGTTACGTTCTTGATTAAAATTTTTAGGAGTTGCTTCAGTGGAAGAAGATGTAAAGCTACTGGAAGAAAAATACATTCTTGATTAAAATTGTAGCCAACTAGCACATTCTTTTTCTGACCATTATTTATAATCTTCTTAGATGCGTTGAGCTATCAAAAAAATATATCCAGTTTGTGTTATAATGGTATGAGATAGAGCTTTGCTGATTTAAATTATTTGCATGTATTTTTCTGTGTTTTTTTTATTTAATAATTTGAAGAAGAAAAATCTGGGTATTCGGTACCCGACATATAGGTACCCGCAAAATCGGTACCCGAAAATCGGGTACCTGAAACATCCGGGTCGGGACACGGATCCGATAAATCACTACCCGATGTTCGGGTATCCGGTTTTTGGTACCCAAAATCGGGTACCCAGATTTGCACACCCCTAATATTAGTCTGTCTTTTAAAAAAAAACACCAAAGTTTCAATCTTTTAATCTTTCTCTTACGTAAAACATCATACACAGTATCTGTGTGCTTTATCTCTGTAGCCTTATAGGATGTCTTTTGCATTTGAGAAGATTAAAAAAAAAAGATGTTCATTCGGTCTTGTCAAAAATGTTAGATATAAAATTAAAAAAATAATATCTAACAAATAACTATTACCTATTAGGGTAATATTTCGGTAAAATTGTCTCCACGGCATATAAGATAAACTATGTAAAATATTAAAAAGGGTAAAAAAAAGTTTATAACTAAATTTATAAATAAATCAAAAGATTAGCAAAAGGAGGGGGAGGGAAGGATCATAGGTTCTGTAATAGGAACAAAGAGCAGTTGACAGTAGTTAGTCTGTCTTTTAAAAAAACAACCAAAGTTTCAATCTTTTAATCTCTCTTACATAAACATCAAACACAGTCTCTTGTGTGCTTTATCTCTCTAGCCTTATATGCTGTCTTTTGCATTTCTGAGAAGATTAAAAAAAGGGATGGAATTTGATGCAAATGCCAAGTTGGTGAATTTGGTTTCCTTGATGGAATTCAAGCTTGATGCTTTCAGAGGTAACTGTCAAAATACCCAACTTAGGGGCACTACGAATGAGACTCTGCCCCATTTCGGTTATTGCATAATTAAGTTTTAGAGGATGGTATCTCAAATTCTCCAGGTTTAAACATTTCTTCCTCTCACTAAAGCAGCCATTGAATCAAAAACTTAAGCCTTTCATCATCTCTGCACCATTAACTTGCGTTGATTTTGAGAAAACTCTCTTGGGTCTTTGTTAGTTTTGGGAAAGTTGGTTCATTTCTGATATTATCAAATTGGCATATCTGGGTTTATCTTGTTTTCTCGTTTAGGAATACTTTAGTTGTTTTACCTGGATATGATCTTAGCAAAGCAGTCATTTTTAGTCCATTGACTAGTCTTTAACATGTGAATTTATTGTTTGTAGCAGTCAACCTAGGATCTGGGTTGGTTGAAACAAACTAAGGAAAAGATCAAAGGTTAAAATCCTGCAAATTTTGAGACTCAATACTGTTTGGAGATTAAGGTCTTTTTTTTATAAAAAAAATCACTCTTTTTTTTTGCCTTGCAGCAGAGTAGATTTGATCCTTGGGGCTTTTTGGAAGAAGTAAATAGTTGGTCTCTGTAAGATTCTGCAGCTGATGCATTGGGTTTCTCCTTTTTACTTGGTCTCTATGAGGCTTCAATGAGAGGTTTCTTTTACTTTAACATCCTCTCAGTTCTATAAAGCTGCCAAGAACTAGTTTTGGTTAAATCAACTTTCCCTCTTTGTTTTATGTGCTTAGCACTGCTCTAGCTTAGCTGTTGAGTGGTAGATAGGTTGAGTTCTTGGAATTTGGGTGTTTTTTTTTTGTTTGGAATCTAAGCATGGCTAGTGGTGGTAATGATGATGTGGGATCTAAACACCACAACATTATGAATTGTTCATCTTCAGAGATGAACCCTTTGTGTGACAAAGTTGATGGAATGCCAAAGAGTATTTCAATATCCATGTATAACAAGCCTTTGAATTCATCGGATCCTTTCCTTGGCTCTGGTTGGGATCCCATTGTTTCATTGAGTCAGAGTGAAAGCCTTGTAGGTTCTTCAATGGTTTCTCATGGTGAATTTGCCAATTTTCATTACCCTCATCTGATGGAGAATCAGGGAATTTGTGGGACTTCCCATTTTTCCCAGTATCAATCGAACCCGAGCTTTGTTGAGCTGGTGCCAAAGCTCCCAGGATTTGGTAGTGGAAATTTTTCGGAAATGGTTGGTTCGATGAGTCTGCCACAAAGTGACCAAGTCGCCAACATCCGGGGTTGCCCAAGTTATACTCTGAATCATGAGGGTGGCGTTGAAAGGGCTTCGACAAATAGTACGCAATCTCGTGAGGATCGCCAAATTTCAGATGGAGTTGTAGGTGCAGCCTCCAATGGAAAGTGTCGAAAACGAGTGCCTGAATCAAGCCACGTATATTATTGATTCAATCACAGTAGTATCAAAACTTTCCAGCATGATGATAATAATGACACAACTGACTTGTTAAATTGGCTTTGTTATTTGTGTTAGAATGCTGATGGGGAGCCACAAAAGGATCCTTCGAGAGAGAGCTGTGATGTTCCAAAGCGACAGCATGCGATGAAACAGAAAACCGAACAAGATACGGGTGCAAATTCTCTTGGCAAGCAAGTTACAAAACAAGCTAAAGACGGTTCTCAAATTGGGGAAAAAGCTAAAGAGAATTACATCCATGTAAGAGCTAGAAGGGGCCAGGCTACTAACAATCACAGCCTGGCAGAAAGGGTAAATTGCCGTTTTCATATCGAAAGAACAATGTTTTGCGTCCTTAACTTCATATTGAATCCGGTAGTCTTCATAATTGCAGGTGAGAAGGGAAAAATAAGTGAGAGAATGAGATTGCTTCAAGAACTTGTTCCAGGATGCAATAAGGTACTAACTCTATAGGATCATGGCTTCATAATAGACTTGTTTTCAAAATGAAACGGATCTTGATTATTTGACGCGGTTTCATTGTTTTAGATTACTGGGAAAGCTGTAATGCTTGATGAGATTATCAACTATGTCCAGTTGCTGCAACGGCAGGTTGAGGTATGAAACATCCATGACTGTAACTATTTTATTGGGGTATAGTACTTTGGTTTACACTGATACAACTAAGGAGCTATATTAAAACTTTCAATCAAGATTAACTGTCGTTCCTCGGTAAAAAGTTTAAATGGATCATAAATCCTTGGGTTTAGGCCGGTAGCTAATACGAGAACCTCCTTTGTGAATGCTGTGTTGCAGTATTATACCAAATGTTTAGGACGTGAATTTATGCGATTTATTTTTACATGTATGAACGAATTTAGGACGTGAATTTATGCGATTTATTTTTACATGTATGAACGAATTTGGTGAAGTAGTATCGATGAATCAGTGATTTTGACAATGTTGCTTAGACCCGGATGTGCTATATTTCAGTGACTTACACATTTCTTCTTCGCAGTTCTTGTCGATGAAACTGGCCACTGTCAACCTCGAGTTAAACATAGATTTGGAGAGATTTCTATCCAAAGATGTAAGTTAATCTTCCATTATAGAAAAATGATACTATGAGTTGATGGTTATGAATCCTTACTTTCTCCGGTAATAGATTCTTTATTCGCGAGGCGGAAGTGCTGCAGTTCTCGGAATTGGTCCTGCGATAAACTCGTCATGCCCTTTCTCCTCCGGTATCTTCCCGGGAACAGTTCCAGGCATCCTGAGTACAAATCCGGAATTCCCTCCCTTGCCTCAGGTATTTATAAAAAGGATCAAAATCTTTTTTTCCTTTTCTCGTCAAAACATATGATTGGAACACATTTTCGTTTACAGACTGTACTAGACAACGAGCTTCAAAATCTTATTCAAATGGGGTTTCGACTTGAGTTCAGGCATGGATAGTTTGGACCAAATGGTATTATATTCATTGAAGTATGGGAGTTAAATTTTATATAATGGCTTTGGTATGTGTTAACCTGGAGCTGGTACCATTTTCAGGTGGGTTAAAATCTGGGCTTTGAAGTTGGAATAAAAATGCTTAGTTCCTGCTAACCAAGTTGAGTGGACAAAAAGGAAAAACAAAGTACTATTGAGAGGTGCATAGATGGTTTAGGGTTTCTAACTTATTTTCCTAATTTTTTAGACAAGGGAATGATATGTATTGTATATTCAGGACCAAAGAAAGCCAGATTTGGTTTTGTTAATTGTGGTGTTGTGTAGGATCTTTGATGGACTGGGAAATTTCCTTGTATACCACTTTTCCATTTGGTCTGCTATTTTCTTAGTAGCCAAACATGATTGTCAAGTGATATTGGTATTTGTTAAGCCAACTCTTCAGCAGAAATTACCAAAAGAACAATACTGTTAGTAGTGTTTAATTTCGTATCATTTAGAATATATATATATATAAAGAAATGGGACGAGTAAATAAAATATTTTTATAAAAAATAATCAAAAATGAAATGGTAAGAATATGTATACAATTACATTGATCGATCTTTAGAGAGTAAAGATTCCTTTTTATAAAAATATTTTAAAAATACTTTTTATATGATTTTTATGACTGACTAGTTTCTTGTATCTCAATGGTATCAAAATTTTCATCAATCACAATAACCAAAACAACCCAACACAATGACATCAATATTGCATTATTCAAGTGTTATTACCTCAACGAATAAAAAGAATTAACAAACTATATAATTCACATTCTTCCATACATTCCCTTATTTTTCCAAAGCTTATAGCTCATAATATCCATTGAGATACCCGAAACCCCCCCCCCCCCCCCCATTCATCGAGTCAGCTTTGAGAATGATCCAAATGAAAGAAACCCGGATCATTTCCCTTTGTCGGATCGAGTTTCCGACTATCTCAATGCACCACAAAAACCAGACAAGTATAGATCCATCTATGAAATCATCTTATTATGATGTAATTCCTTCATCAACACTAAAAAAGAGGCTATAAATGTCACTAGTCACAGCCACTGTGCTAGTTGACACAGCAAGAATGATCATCATCCATGATATTAGTCTATCATTCTTTGTTGCAATTCCATGGGTGTCCCTGCACGGTTCCATATCAGAACAAGCAAACAAGGTTTTCAGTTGATAAGATTCGTATTAATCGGTCGCAAAAACAGGTTCCAGTTTCTTTTCTGCTCTCTCATATATCATACCCATTGTCCAACTATCTAATTTAGGGACTAATGTTATTGCCATTTCCAACATCATATCCAACATAATGTTGCACATAAACAGATTTTGACACTAAATTGGAGGGAAGCTGCATATATAACTACTGCTTACCTAAGGGTGATTGCAGCCGGAAAGATGAAGCCAACGCAAACAGCAGCAGTTGCACCAGTGAACTGGAAGGCATCCCAGATACTAGGAACACAGCTGGCTCCCATAAGTATAAATCCCATAAGAGCTACTGTTACTGACATGAACCTCCTGTCATCAAAAGCAATAGGAATGGCATATGGAAATAAAAGGCCATCTACGTTGATACGAAGAGAGAAAAACACAATCGGGAAGACAAGCATCAGGTGAAGGCCATAGCTCATTCTGACCAGATCATCAAGCAATGAGCTATATGGAATTCCGAGATCGCCATCAAAATTGGCAAGCACGTCGTCCATAGTATGATCCCCAAAGAGGACTACTCCGAAAAAGCTGGTAGCAATGTAGACAGAAGAGCATAATGCGAGGGACTTCCTAACTATTGACTTCATCTGTGTAGGGTCTTTAAGTTCATTCTCTATTGGGAGTACTGCAAGGTGAATTTATTCGAAAGGGGAAATGTTCAATCAGTACACAGTAACAATAAAACTGCTAGAAACGGAATGCAAAGATTGTAGTAATAAAAGGACTAATATAAACACATAGAATCTCTCTTCGTCTTGACAGCGAACAATTTCGATAACAATACATCATGTGAACAGTCTTAATAAATCAATGGTTTATGTTCGATGTAATGCTGAACCATAAAAGGCCGAACTTGGTCTTTGCCGAGTTGTATGTATCTACATATTACACATATCTTACCCTTAATGCACTCAACCAACAAACCAGGTGGGAAGTAAATCAAGTTTAGCAGATCGGATCGAATAAACTTGAACAAACAATTAAACAAAAGCAAAATATGATAGTAAACGGATGGCACTGAAGGTAAGAAACAGTACAAAAACAATCTATCTACCATGACTTACTATTATGGTGGCATATATATGCAGTAACTACAACCGGAACCGAGGTGAAAAGCTTCCAAAACGATGCCTGGTTAACCAGTTTTGGCATTAGTCGAGGCATTCCAATTTTGCCTTCCATCAACTTAACAATCACAACTCCCGCCGTGATTGCCACAAACACAACTGCTAAACCAACCGACAATGCTGATGTGTATCTCAATGAATCTAAAATTTAAACCCCAAAAGTGTTAATACCTTAATGTTTTAGAATTTTGACAGAGTTAAGTCAGTGGGTTTCAACTTACTAACGCGCTTGAATGAAATGAGAGGAGCGAAGACGAAAAGTGTGGTGAGCAAGAGTAAAGCTGATCTAGTGGTCCACCAATGCTCGCCGAACCATTCTTCAATTAATCCCCTGTGGTGGAACCCATCCTCCCAAGTCCCCGATAAGACATCACCTGCCAATAATTTCAAATTCAGTTGCGATCAAACGGATACTGATAGTTTCCAATTAGGGGCGTAATTGAGGATTTTACATAAGTTACCTATGATGATCATGTAAACAACGAGCATGCCCAAGTTGTTGATGACGATGCAGGCTTGAAGGATGTTTCGGCCGGATGAACCGAAAGCGTCGGCGGCGACTCCAGAATAGGTGGCGGACTTGGAGGCTCGGCTAAACCTGATGATCATATCGATTGATGATTCGGTTAACATAGAGACGCATATGATAGTGAGGAGACCGGGGATCAAGCCGAGTTGATTGACGGTGGCAGGGAGCCCCATGATTCCAGCTCCGACGATGGTAGTGGAGAGGTTGAAGACGGCTCCTAAATTAGAGGCCCCATCGAAGCCGGATCCGTGGGCATCGAAAGATTCGTCGTCGGACTTTTGAGGGAGGAGAGGGGTTCGAGGAGGCCGTCGGTTTTTGGGATCCGATGAGGACAAAACCGTCATTTTGATTATTGGGTTGTCGTTAATACCGTTGAAGAAGATAAATTGACCTTTGAAGATGTGTGAGAGAGAGCGAGGAATTCTTCTCATGAGACGACGGTATATAAAATATGGAGTGAAGCGGCAAATAAAGCGTTGACACGTTCAAGGAGATGTCAACTGATTCAGAATTTCACTTGCTCTGATTTCAATCTTGACAGAATAAGTAAAGGAATTTGATCATCTTCTTCCTATGATGCGTAGTAGGAAAAAACTAAACTTCGGGTAGAATGAAATCCAAAATCTGGATTTAAAGTGGGTGGATGAGAGATCCAAAATTCATAAAGATCAGAATTAGATAATAGTTCCTATAATTAAACTTGACATGCATGACACGTTAGGAGAATAAATAGAACAAGTGATGGGTGAGAGCGACACAATAAGGGTTAGGACCTTAAAATCTTGAAACCCTAACCTAATATTACATGCAATTTATAAATAAACAGAACGAACTTTTCTAAATCCAAAACTGCATTTATTTATTTATTATTTTCGTCATCTCTCTCTGTTTTCTGTAGAAGGAAAGGCAGAGGTCATTTCCTGAAACGTAAATCCTTATCGTCCTTGTTTTATGTAAGTGTAAACATCATTCCTCAATTATATTTCTCTATTTTATTTATTGTACTTTTGATTTTTTAATTTATTCATTAAATTTTTAAATTGATTATGTTTTGATCACTATAAATTATGTTATTATTATTTCTATTTGACATGGAATTTTTTATTTAATATAAAATAATTGAAAATATAAAATAAAAATATAAGATGGTGGTCGTTCGATCGCAAATTTCGTGGGTCGTTTCGTTTCGACACCTTGAGTCCGAATATGCCCTCCATTTTGCTAGAACTTGCTCTGAAGTCCACGAGTGGAGATCGAAAGTGAGGAAACCAAAATGTTTCACTTGAGATTCATGGGGTTTGGGATATTTTCTGGTGAAAAAAATACCAGATTTGGACTAAGGGGTCGAGACGAATTGACCCATGAAATTTGGGACTGAAAGGCCACCATCTACGGCTATCGACAGTGGCCGACGGTGACGTTTGACCACCTTCTTTTTTTATTTTATATTTTCAATTACTTTATATTAAATAATAATAATAATAATAATAAATGCCGCGTCATACAAAAATAATAATAAAATAATTTAGAATGATTAAAATAAAAATAATTCAAAAGTTTAGTGAGTAAATTAAAAAAATTAAAAGTATAGTGAGTAAAATAGGAGAGAAAATATAATTTAGTGAGTTATGATGTATTTTATCCTTATGTAAATGAAATTGGCTATGCTGTACGTTTTACTAAGACAGGTCGGCATTTGCAACGGCTAGGACCAACTCAAGTCTAACAAATATAGCGTTACCTTTGAGTTTGCTTTTGGGCTTTGGGGCAGGCCCAATAAGACAATTCACTCTTTTAATTAAATTTATATATTCAATGTATTATAGATTAGATTTAAATTTATAGCTTTCAAAAATAAAAATAACATATAATTTAACAAGATACTAAATGACTTTTCCGCCCTAGTTTTGTTTTACCCTCACTGCTTGCCTTTTTCTCTGTTTTGGTTGACTGGTTACGACGTCAATATTGATATTGGTTGTAGCACATATTTGGTTTTTCCTATTTTAATTTTCAATAACTATGCCTTTGTGATATGTTTTAATATGTCATTTGGCACATTTTGATCTTTTAATGTGTTATTTAGTTGATCTTATCACTTAATTTTCTCAAGGTTAAATTTGATGTCTCCTCAATTGATCAAGATGTCGCTTATTTGTTATCATATTGATTTGTCCTGATTTGAACCTTTGGATTGGATTTGAATATGCAATTTACATTCGGAGATAGTTTTCTCACGAAACTTTATTTTGATTTGTGATTGTCGGTGGTCTCTCAATACTTTGATCCCTTATTATGGTTCGTTTACCGATACAGTCAAATATATTCGCATCTTTATTTTATTCAAGTTTTTTTACATTTTCCTTGTATGATCCTTATATAATTTTAAGTGACTAGTTTCGTGTGTCGATGATTGTACAGAATGTCCCAAT